CAGGTCACGGTGTGAATGGGATGCAACCAATCAATGTTTCTCTCACTTCCTTTCTGTAAAAGCAATGAAAAAATGTCCTCAGTTGAGGGTTAAAAAAATATATTTTTAAAAATGGGGATAAAATGATGGGTAAGAGGAATTGCCAGCTTGACCATCCTGGTCTGATGAAGGAGTCTGGCCTCAAAGTGGACCTGACTCTGAGAAGAGATGGATCAAGAGCTCTATTCATGTTTGTGTTACTGGAGAGTTGGTATGGTTGGCACCAGGTGTGGTAAAGAATGTGGCTACAAAGTAAGAATGTCTATTGAGACTTTGAAGGGTCTAAGTGGCAAGTTTGGTACAGCTATATTATATAAGCCTTTAAAGTTTATTTATTGATTTTAGAGAGAAACATCAATTTGTTGTTCTACTTGTTTATGCATTAATTGGTTGACTCTATCTTTTAAAAAAGGATTTTATTTATTTTTAGGTGGGGGAGAAAGAGAGGGAGAGAAACATTGATTGGTTGTCTCATATGTGTCCTGACTGGGGACAGAACCGGAAACCCAGGCATGTGCCATGACCAGGAATCAAACCAACCGCAGCTCTTTCACTTTGCAGGGCGACACCCAACCTACTAAGCCATACCAGCCAGGGCTAAACCCAGCTTTTAAACATTATACTGTACTGCCTTCAGCAGACCCATGGTCTCAGAGTCTCCTGGCAGTCCATCATTTTCCTGAACAATGTCTTTTCTATACTTCAGGCTATTTAAAAACAGAAAACTGATAATCAGTGGTTCTTTCATCAGTGGAGGAAGGGACTTAAAGAGGAGCTTTTGAATAGGTAATACATATAATAAAATTCAAACACAACAAACTTTTCTCCCAGCCTCTTATTTCCCTACACAAAGGCAACCAGTAGCAACCACTTCTTGTGTGTGCTAAGGATTTTCTATAAATATATGAACATTAAAAATTGTTTTTACTTACTGATTTTAGAGACAGAGGAAGAAAAACATTGATTTCTTATTCCATCCCTTTATGCATTCATTGGTTGACTCCTGTATGTGCCCTGACCAGGGATCAAACTCAAAACCTTGGCACATCGGGACAATGCCCAAACTGAGTCACCCAGCCAGGGTAAGTATCTAAACATTTTGTGTGTGCACATATATGATGAATTAAAGACAGCCATGAATTCTACTCTTCTCATGGACTAGTGAAATCAATTTTCCCTCTACTTGAATCTGGAAGGTACCTATAACTGGCTTTGACCAACAGAATGCATAAGTTACCTTTAGGCTCTGCTTTCACTCACTTGGAACCCAGTTGCTATGTGGTGAAAATCTCAACCAATATGAGAAGGCCACATATCAACAGAACCATGGCACTTCAGTGTACAGGCCCAGCTGAGGTTCCAATGACAGCCAGGGCCAATTGCCAGGCAAACTGGTCTCTAGGTGGCTATAGCCCCAGGTAAGTCCAATTAAGCTACAGAAGTTTAATACTTGTTTGAACTAGTACAAAGGTTTAAGGTGCTTTGTTGCACAGTGATACATTAAACAAAGCTTTAAGATTGTACATTGTTCTTGTTTTACTTCTTTGGTTATCTTTCATTAAGTCTGCCTAGTATTTCATTATATGGATGGTATAAAATTTAACCAATGTTCTTCCAATTTACAATTTAGGTATTTTCCTATTTTCTGCTATTCAAAGCAGTGATAAAAAATTCATGTACATATTATTCTAGACATGTAAAACTACATGTGGTTCAAACTAAACCCCTTGTTTTCCAGAGCTATGCTGTCCACTGTTTCACAGCCATAAGCTGCATTCCCTTTCTCAATCTTACTATCTACATTTAGGTAGCAGACGACTGGGAGAACATTTTTGTCATTGCAGAAATCTTTATTATACAGTGCTATTCTAGAGCAAGGCACAGGCAAAATTTCTGCAGAGGGATAAATGAAATTTTAGGTTCATGGGCCATTTGGTCTGTCAGAAAAAGCAGTCACACTGTTGTGTGTTTTAAATTGTTGATTTTAGAGAGAAGGGGAGAAACATCAATTTGTTTTTCCACTTAATTATGCAATTCATTGGTTGATTCTTACACATGCCCTAAATGGGGGTCAAACCCACAACCTTGGCAAATCGGGAGGCCAACCAACTGAGCAACACAACCAGGGCTATGTTCTTAACTTTAACATTGGAATATCACAATTTTTGTGGCACAGAACATTCTTTTGATTGCATTGGAGGTTAAAATGTTTTTGAAATTTAAAAACTAGATTGCCCTCCTTAATTATTATACCAATTTTCTCTGAACAAATGAGTGCCTGTTGCTCCATTCCTTCAGTAGCTGCTATCGAAATCTATTTGAAAATCTGAATGCTAGAGAATAGAATCTCAACTATGGATTTTATTTGCTTTAACTGAGGTTAAACATCATCTTTGAGCCGTTCATATCTTTTGCCCATTATCTATTGGTTGTTGAGCTTACACTTTTTGATTTGTAGAAATTGAACTAAAGAAAAATTAACCTTTGGCAAACATATTCAGTATGGTGTTTCCCCATACAGAATCTTTAAGATCTAGTCATGTCATCCATTCTTTTTAAGTATTCATTTTGTATTTACCTCAGAAGGCAAAGCCACTGCACAATTTTATAAACAACAAAACTGCCTGTTTACTTCCTGTATTTTTATAGTTTGTCTCAGGATCTATTTCTAGGCTTTCTTTTTTAAAGGATTTTTTTCCATAGATTTTATTTTTAGAGAGAGGGGAAGGGAGAAAGAGAAGCATCAATGTGTGGTTGCCTCTCGCATGTCCCCAACTGGGGACCTGGCCCCCCACCCAGGCATGTGCCCTGACTGGGTATCGAACCAGTGACCCTTTGGTTCACAAGCTAGCACTCAATACACTGAGCACCAGCCAGGTATTTCTAGACTTTCTTATCTGTCCCATTCATTGAGTAATGCATTCAGGTCCCAGTACCACCCCATTTTATTGTTTTTGCAATGTTTTCATATGGTGTAGTGCTAGTTTTCCTTTGACTCATAATTCTGCACATCAGTTTCCCAAATGCATGTTAGAATCAATTTGTCTAGTTCCAAAAATACTCGTTATTTTTTACTCAGATCTTTTAGAACTTAGTGTCCTTTAGAATTATTTTTATGTTGAGATTTCTTGGACATGGTATAGCTTATCTTTTAAAGTCTCATTTGTCAATATTTTAATGTTTTCTTCATATATAACTTATAGATGTCTGAAATATTCCAAGTTTTATTTTCCTTCCAGCTTACCTTCAAACAGATTACTTGCTAGTTCAATGACCTATTTTCAATGGACACTCACAGTATTTAAGTAATTCACCACCTACAAGTGATTTTTACTTTCCCCCCCATTTATACCTTTACTTTCTTCTCTTGCCTGACTGCCTTTGAATGAAGGTCTCTTTTTTTGATAGGAAAACTTCTAGTTTCCCTATTAAACATCACACAAGCTTTTGGAGTAAGATACATTTTTTTTTATCAGGTTAGGAATCTTGACTCAGCAATTTTAGCAAAAGCCATTTTAGCATTATAGGGAGATGATGTATTTTTTTAGATTAATTGCAAATATTCTCAATGTATTTTTTAAAAAAATTTTATTTATTTTTAGAGAAGGGAAGGGAAGGGAAAGGAAACATCAATATTGGTTGCCTTACACGCTCTCTACTGGGGACCTAGCCTGCAACCCAGGCATGTGCCCCAACTGGAAATCAAACCAGCAAACCTTTGGTTCACAAGCTGGCAACTCAATCCAGAGCCACACCAGCCAGGGTTCAATGTATTTTTAAATAATCTAGAAATGACTTCTTTATTGTCATTATATAATGGTTTGCTTATAATGTATATCTACTAAGTTTTTATCTCTTAATTTAACTAGGGGCAGGGATGTGTGACCCATTCAGGCCCTCCAGAGGGGCATTTATTTATTTTTTAAAAGATTATTTATTTATTTATTTATTTGAGAGATGGGAAGGGAAGGAGAGAAACATTGACTGGTTGCCTCCTGTACACACCCCAACTGGAGACAAACCCACCACCCAGGCATGTGCCTTGACCAGGAATTGAACCGCTGACCTTTAAGTTTGCAGGCTGGTGCTCAATCCACTGAGCAAAAGGAATCATCCTCAAGTTACAGCAAGAGTGGCTAAGATGCTGATGGCCTGAGACAAGGTATTTGGAATTTTAACAGGTGTAGATACTAGAGCAAGACAGACATTTCAGTAGTCCTTGAAAGATGTTAGTCTGAATAAGGTTGATGATGGTAAACACAAATAGATTTATAAGAATTAATTGGAAAAGACTTAGATCACTATACCTGAAAGCCCCAAACCAATCACTAACTTTGAAGATTCAATGAACATCACATTAGTTCCTGGACCCACCAACTGTGTGACCATGGGTAAATAACATGTACCTTGTAGGGATTTGTTGAGAGGATTAAGAGATGTGTAGAATGAATTTATTAGCTGTTCTGGAACATGGTCAATATACAGTAAATGTTGTCAGTTTTCTACATTGCAACATGTTCTGCAGAATATTTACATAAATATGCTAAAATGACAAAATCATAGATTCAAAGATTATTCATTTGTATAGAGCACCAGAGTATGTATGTTAAAATTATCCTTTTAAATTTGGTTCTAAGTTTTATCCTGGTACCTACTTGTCAGTTATAACTTATAAAAATGTTTCACAAATTTTCTTAACTATGAAGACATTTACAGATTACCAAAAGTAACAAAAGTCCACACATATAGTTAACAGATATCTCAAATTTGAACAAATCCTCTGCAAATGCATTATTTTCATTTAATACTTTTTGAAGCTAAATTTAGTTTAATACAGTTGTACACTAGGATATATATATATAGACATATATATATATCTTTAAGGTCCACTAGCAAATGATTTGGAATACTGACACATTTGATACCAATTTTTTGTTTCAAAAAAAATTTTTAATCCTCACCCGAGTTTATATTTATTGATTTTAGAGAGAGGAAGGGAGAGAAACATGGCTGTGAAAGAGACACATTAATCAGTTGTCTCCTGTACACACTCCAATCAGGAATCAAATCCGCAACCTTCTGGTACGCAGGACGATGTTCTTACCAACGGAGCTACCTGGGCAGGGAACGAAATTTTTTGAGAACAAAACTAGCACTCACTCTCACTACATTTACTTGGGTATTATTGAAAAGCAGGATATTCCTATGGCCTTCCTCTAGGGTGCATTATTCTACAGATATTAATCTTTTCTAGGTGAGGCTCTTTAGTTAGCTGTCAGTAGAATTGAGGCCACTTGGTTATATGGGAGTGAGGTAAACTTTTAGAAGCTGGAGAATGCCTTTTCAAAGGACTCTTACATAGCATCTGACTCTAGCTCTGTGGTTAAACATGGTTCAATGACACATATATTGGGTGCTGACACTCAGGGTAGGTGGCTTCTCTGCAGATGTGCAGCTAAGATCTCAAAGCAAAGTGGAGGAGGCAGATGGAACCAGAAAGAGAAACAGTATGTGCAGAACTAGTCTCAAAAGGCTTATTAAAGCCTGAAAGAAACTAGTATGGCCAGAAGGGAATCTGGGGGTAATAGATGGGGTGAGAGTTAAGGGCTAGATTGTGCAAGTCCTGGCATGTTAAGGTGAGCAGGGACTGTATCTTGTTCAAGCTTACCCCCAAAGTCTAGCGTAGAGTTCAGTGGATAAAAGCCGCAAAAAAGTATGAGTTAAATGACCAGTCTTCTGACAAGATGAGTGATTAGCATAGGTTATTTCTTCCTCTAAGACACCTATGAAGATATTAAACACAGAAGGGTTTAGGGATCTGAGAAATGTAATGTGAAACATCCCCTGGAAAAACAGATTATGACTAGATCCTACTACACAAGGGCAAGAAATGGAAAAATGCAGTGCAGAAAAGGGTAGAACGCCATGGTAGTAGTAGTATAGGCTGAGACAAAACTTTATTACATCCTTAACCTCTCCTGTTCATTGCCTCATGTCCAATCCATCACTGACCAGGGTGTCCAGTATATCGTAACTTTACTTAGCCCCTTGAGTTCTCCTCTAGAGAATTACAACCGAGGGGAAGTAGAGGAAGTTCCACTATCTGTCACTGGTGAAGCCATGATTCTAGTGCACAGGCTCTGTGCCTTGATGGCCATCTCCATTCTCCTTCAACTCATCAGAACACTAGGGTCTGGATCCTCCCTTTTACCAGAAACTGATAAATTTCCCATCCTTTACCGTGAGCTCATAGGGTAGGAAATAATCACTCACCTGGGGCCAAAAGCAACCACTATGAAAGACAACAGGCTCAATCCCTATTCTAGATTAAAGAGAATAAACAAAGACAATGGGATAAAATGTGTTGAATATTAAAAATGGAATGTTTATAAAATATAGGGAGACAATGAACTATGGATCCTGGTTACATTACATATATATTTCATTGTTCTATCTTCTGACAGGGCCTAGAAGCAACACTTCAGCATCAAGAGGCGCTGGGTCCTACTATACAGGTTCTAGAACATCTAGCACCCAACTCTTCATTCCTTAATGCCATTAAATTATAAAGGAACCAGAGCTTCTTAAATAACTGGCAGACTCTGAAATTGGGACAGGAAAAAGTCAAGATGAGCCTGGAACATTTTATAGTATCATAAAGTGAGACGTCCTTAAAAACAATAACTCCACAATGATGGAGGCATACTGAAGAGACACAGGAGCCAACTGAAAGAGCTCCAAAAGGTTAGTGCTGGGACAATTTGAAAATGAAGTATTACTGGATTATTTCCCCAGTACGCACTAAGTTATCCATGAGTCCATAGTGATATAAATAAGTTGAATAAGCCCTGGCTGGTGAGTGCCAGCCTGTGAACTGAAAGGTGACTAGTTCAATTCCCAGTCAGGGCACATGCCTGGGTTCTGGGCCAGGTCCCAAGTGGAGGGGCGTGCAAAAGGCAACTGATCGATACATCTCTCACACATTGTTTTTCTTCCTCTTTCCCCTCCCCTTCCCCTCTAAAATTAAATAAAATCTTTAAAAAAAAATGACTGAATGAATGGAGGAGAAAAGATCAATTTCTTTCTGGAAAATTCTAAGTAACCTATGTGCACATTCTACCTTTAAGGAGAGCAAAACTCTTCTATCCTTAATTGTAGGCTGCATGCAGTGATTGCGAAGAGTACAGGATTCTCTGGCCACATAGCTCAGTGGGTTAGAGCATCATTCCTATATGCCAAGGTCGTGGGTTAGATCCCCAGTCAGGGCACATATGAGTCAACCAATGAATGCATAAATAAATGGAACAACAAACAGACATTTCTCTCTCTAAAATCAATACATTAAAAAAAAAAAAGAAGAAGACTACAGTATTGGATGGAGAGGAATTTTACAGTGGACAAAGCTGGCAAATAAGACCTCAGCCAGGTGATCAAGGCTAAAATCAACAGAAATGAAATACATAATACAGGTATTGTGTATTTTAGAGAAGGTAAGGGAGGGAGAGAAAGAACAGTGTGATAGAAACATGGGTTGGTTGCCTCTCACACACACCCCAACCAGGGACCAAACCTGCAATCTGGGCACATGCCCTGATTGGAAATCCTTTCACTTTGTGGGATGATGCCCAAACGAGCCAATGGTTAGGGCTGATATATGTATTCATTTTTATAAAAGATTTTCCCAAGCATGTGCCCTGACTGAGAACTGAACTGGCAACCTGTCAGTTTGAAGGCTGTCACTCAATCCACTGAGCCACCCCGGCCAGGGCTGTAATATTATGTGATGAGAATGGAATTTACCTGTCATCTTCCTCTCAAAATCCCTTAAGACCAACCTAATCATGAGAAAAGCTCAATCCTAACTGAAGGACTTTCTACAGAATACCTGACTCAAAACTCGAGGTCATCAAAAACACAGAAAGTCTAAGAAGCTGTCATAGCAAGAGATGCTTTAAGAGACATGAAGACTAAATGTAGTATCTTCAATGGGGTCCTGGAACAGAGAAAGGACATTAGATAAAAATGAAATCAGAATGAAATACGGACTTCAGTTAATAATGTATGGACACTGGCCCATTAATTGTGACAAATGTATGATACTAATATAAAATGTTAATATTAGGGGAAATTGTGTGTAGGGTACATAGGAATTCTTTGTACTATCTTTGTAACTTTTCTATATATCTACAACTATTCTAAAACAAAAGAAATTTCAAGGTCCATTTTGTCACCCCCTTCCCAGGTAGTAAAAACAGCATAGAACATTCTCACACCCCAGAGGGTTTTTATTGGAGAACAAGGAGAGCCAAAGTAACAGGGGCCCCTTTAAACCAGGCCTGACGGTACTCAATGGACAAATACATAACTGACCAAGCTGGCTCATTAAAATAGCAATAAACAGAAAGGTGTTTTTAAGCAGACATTCTAAGCATTATAGTTGATTTGTTAATTCAGTGAAATTGTTTCCTCAGAGAATATTGACAGGAGCATTAACTGGAGCTATTTATAAAGCCCCAATTAAGCAACAAGATTAAATTAATAGGAGTCATTGTCACTTTTTAAAGTTCTTAATTAGTTGCTCTTGTAAGGTTGTTTTTCTTTGTGTAAATTCCTAGGCATTGAGTCTCTTTTCCACGTTTCTTTGGTGCCTGCAGAATTTATTCCTATGGGATTTTGTTTTCCTGATTAAAATTAGAGATGTAATCCAAAATTTCAATGCAGAAGTCCATTGACAGTAGTTCTATTGATCCTGACAGGGAAATAAATTGATAGGTGACAGGATAGCATTCAATACTTGGGGTCCCCTACTCACCCTGCTTTAGTTTTTCCTTAGTATGGTACAGGACTGGGGCCTGAAATGTTAACAGAGCAACAAAGAGGGGCACTTGTGTTTACTGTTACTTATGGCCGGAGGTGGCAGCTTGGATATTTACAGACTGGTAACCTGCCAGTCCAATTTCAGCTTCCATTGCAGCATGAGAAAAAGATAGGGAAAGAGAAGAAATGAATAAAAAAAGCTACTTTGAAATGTTTTACTTCATCTTCTTAGACTCATGGTGGGTGGGGGCGGGGGGGGGGAATCAAGTTAATAGGGAGTAATAGGTGACTAATTAAACTTCACTTATCAAGTAGGAAGTCCCATTAAATTACCTAAATGTGCATGATTAAGCCACTGAAACCTCTTAGGGTATTAACTACAGGAACAAATACCAAATAAATTATCCCTTTTCAAGTAGTAACATAGGGACCTCTCTCTGCACCTGGGTAGCATGTGTTACCATGGTCAGGAAGTCAATCTGCTCAGGGGAATGAGATCCCCTATTTTAAACCCTGGCTATTCATATGTAAATATTCCTCCTTAGAAGCCATTTCTATTTCACTATCTAAGACTGAGGCTGTGATTAGGCTCTGCTGGAAATTAAAGACCGCTGTTCTTTCTTAGGACCTCTTTTTTAAGTATACATTAAAAGAGGAGAAGCAGTGATCAAAGTAATCCATGCAAAAGTTATACATAAACCCCAAATCTAAGAAATAAGGACTATTCTGCCCTGGCTGGTGTGGCTCAGTGGACTGAGTGCTAGTCGGTGAACTGAAGGGTTACTGATTCGATTCCCAGTCAGGGCACATGCCTGGGTTGTGCACTGGGTCCCCCGTTGGGGGCGTGCAAGAGGCAACTGATCGATTTATCTCTCCTCTCTTTCTCCCTCCCTTCCCCTCTCTAAAAATAAATATAAATTAAAAAAAAAAAAAGAAATAAGAACGATTGTACTACTAACAACACCTTAGTCCTCTAAAACATGAAGAGTTGAAGGTTGTATGGTAGTCTTGCTAACATGGAATTTTTCACATGTTGGCTCTAGCCCTGAGTCTATCACTAATGAGCTGTCAAGTCTCATGGCCTAAATTTCATTCACTAGAACAGGGCTTGCTAAATTATAGTCTGCAGGCCAATACTGGCTTGCCACCTGTTTCTGAAAGATCCTTAAGCTTTAAATGGTTTGGGGGACAATGCTTTTTGTGACACTGAAATTTTATGAAATTCTAATTTCAGTGCCCATAAATAAAGTTTTATTGGAACATAGTAATGCTCACTTGCTGCCATGTTGTCTCTGGCTGCGTTTATACTGCCACTGCAGAGCTGAGTAGTTGCAACAAAGATTATGTGGTATGCAAGCCTAAAATATTATCTGGCTATTTACAGGAAGATTGCCAACCCCTCTCCTCTAGAAAAACAATGTATAATAAAGCTGTCTGCATTGGTGGAATTATTCTGAGATTTCCAATATGGTAGTCACGAGATACTGAGGTGGAGAAAATTGATTTTATTTAATTTTTGTCAATTCAAATAGCCACATGTATTGCATAGCAGAGCTCTAGGAAATGAGAGTTTAGTTTAGGTTTAGCTTTCCACCTGAAATAAAACCTCACTTGTTTTTCCTTTGCTCTCTCACAATTACCACACTCTCAACACTTCTGACACAGATATGTAAGTTTTTTCCCAAACCAAGCAAATCTGTGTCACCAGCTGGGTTTCCTACAATTTAACTCAATTCTGACACTATCTACAGCTGGAAACAGCATCAGACACCACAGGTTAAGGACACATTCCCCATGACTGTCCCCTACACACCTCCACAAATCAGAAATCGAGTTGTTCCCGTACTTCTGACTGATAGGCTAAAAATTGGAAGGTTCCGCCCTGGCCAGGTGGCTCAGTTAGTTGCAGCATCATCCCACACACCAAAAGGTTGGGGGCTGATTCCCCATCAGGACATATATGGGAGGCATCCAATCAATGTTTCTCTCAAATCAAAAAACGTATCGCTGGGGGTGAGGATTTAAACAAAAAACAAACAAAATGAAACAAAAATGGAGGTTTCTACAACCTTCTCAGGTTCAACTTACTTGCTGGAGCAGCTCAGAGCTCAGGAAAACTGAGTACCAAATTATTATAGAAGGACATAATAAAAGACACTGAAGAACATCTAGATGGCAGAGGCATAGGACAGGATGTGGAAAGGGATACCAAGCTTCCATGCCCTCACTGGGTGCATTACTCTCCCAGCACCTCCATGTTTTCACCAACCTGAAAGTTCTCTGAATCCCACACTACTGGAGTTTTTTAATGGAGGCTTCACCATATAGGCATGATCAATTATCAACTCCATTTTCAGCCCCTCAGCCCTCTCTGGAGAATGGGGGATTGGAGGGCTGAAAATTCTAAGTTTCAGTCCTTGGTTTTTCTGGTGACCTGGGTGACATTAGAAGACACTCCTATCACTTGGGAAATTCCATGGGATTTAGGAGCTCTGACTAGTCAGGAACCAAAGTCAAAAACTGAGTATTAAATACAAGGTGCTCATGGTGCTCTTATCACTTAGGAAATTTTAAGTGTTTTAGGAGCTCTGGGCCAGGAACCAGGGGCAGAGGCCAATATATTTCTTTTTATTATTTCATACCATCCATCTGAGCTGAAGCAAGTTAGTTAGAACCTACTTGACAAAAGGACTACATACATTACTTATTTTGGTGTCACACAGGGTTGCCTATCAGACATCTGAGGTCCTGATGGAGACAGGTTTCTCATTCAGGTGAAGGCACCTAGGATTTAGAGAAAAGGAATGACACGTTGTCCCTAACAAAGGTCCTTTTCTAACAAAAAAATTGTTCGCACCCAGACTAGGACCAACTCCACACGAGGAGTTATTCCACTCTCAGAGGTGCAAAACACTGCCGAAAGGTACTTGGCTACAACACCAAAACAGTGCTTGAAGCCAGACCTCATTAAAGGCAGTGCTTGCTCTTCCAACAGTGTAACACCATCCATGGCATCACATTAGCCTGGATAGCTGACAACTGCTGGATAATTCTTGAAACAGCTTTCTTATGCATTTCAGATACCCAGGCACCCAAGGCAAAAGACACGGATGCAGATATATCCATGAATTAAATCTTAAGTACAAAACAGAGGCCTGGAAGCACTGGCTGTAGACCCTGTTGCCAAATCCTTTAAATAAACAGCAAACAAGAACCCCTTTCCCATGCACCAGGCACTGTGCTTGGGAGCTAGTAGTGAAAAAGGCAAGATACAGTATTACTATCTCCCTATAAATTCCTTAGATGGAATGATACAGATACTGTCATAGACCCCATATTCCTTCAGACCATAACCATCAAAATCATACCCAGGCCTTACTTTACTGGGGGCAAATATAGGTAATTTTGCCTCCCAGTGTTTCTTGATGGACACCAACTAACAGAGGGCTGACACATAGTCAATGTTGGAATGAATAGGGATATTTACCTGAAAACTCCAGACTGTCCACCTGCCACTAATTTCCTCTCTTCAGGAGGGCCAAGGATGCCCTACTTTCAAGTCATCCTAAAAAGAAAAAGTATCACTGGTCAACACCCCGGACTAAAACAGCAGCTCCTAGCGCTGCTTTTCTGTAGAGATGTAAACAGAATATCGCCTGACATTTATAATTTAACCATATTTTATATCTCCAGAAATTATTTTATTTTCCACTATTTGCCTTTTTCTTGCCTATAATTATCATTAAAACTAGCCATCCCCCAAGCCCTCTAAATATCACTAGTCTTAAGACCCCATATATAAAAGGCTATATTCCACAATTAACATTTGAGATATTCAAACAAAGCACTCAACTTTTAGCTAAGAGGATCCTTTTAACGGGGAGCCAATTCACAGAACAAAACTAGCTTTGATAAGTAACTTCCCTGCCTCCCAACATCCTTACCAGTTCCTCCTATGGAAACTAGGATGTTACTTTTCACAGAAGCAGCAACTACGTCAGCCCTATTGGACAATCTCCAGCATCACCCTGAGTGACAAGTGTTTGCCTAGAACTGAGAACCATCTCTTCTGAGAAAGTTAGCATCCCAAAACAAAATTACTACCAAGGGGGCTCAAGATTTACTGCTCCAAAGTGGCCACAACTCTGTTCACTCCTGGAAAATCAGTAAGAAACCAACACAAAGATACTATCAGCCTAAAGCAGAAATTAGTATGGTTGAAGCTAGGCCTAGTGTTTAAGAGTCCCTCAATCAATTGCTATTTTTATATTTTATTAATGAACTAATGAATGCCCATAATTCTAGAGCAAATTCATACCAACATTCCCCTATAAGGCATTCTCATAGATAAATACAGCTATGAAATCCCTCTACAAAGGGTTATCCTGACTAGCTTTGTATGGTGGGGGACCCATGAACTTTGATTTCAGTGAAATTAGCAAAAATACCAGGGATTTCCTCCCTGTATAAGGTACCCTTTGCACTTGGTAGGCGCTCAAAAAATAAAAGCCTCACTTTTCTTCTCTACTTATACATCCCTTCATGGCTTTATTACCTTTTTTGTTTCCAAAGTGTGATTCAAACAAATTCATACCAGCCAAACCTGTTAAGCCAGAACTCAGAAAGATCTGGATTTTTAGGTTTCTCCCTGCAAAGTTACACTCATATATATTTAACCTGAGTGGATAAGCAACTATGCTGGCATCCTGGTATAGTTTACAACAGAGATGGCATGCATGAACCAGGCCCAGAATGCCAACCAGCTACTGGCTGCTGCTCTCCCAGCAGTGGAACACTTGCCTAGGTACAAGACAACCTAGGCAGTTGCCTATAGCTGGAGCCAAAGGTAGGCGAATGGAGTTGCACTTACCTGACGCTGCATCTGTTCAAAGTCCAGAACTGCAATCAATCAAAGCACTCCAGGTTAGAGTCAGTCAACAGTTAGTGAACACCTGCATGGAGTTCAAGACCCCTGCCATCAAAACCCCATAACAGGACCTGGCTAGCGTGGCTCACTTGGTTGTGTGTTTGCCTGCAAAGCAATGGGTCACTAGGTTCCATTCCTGGTCAGGTCACATGCCTGGTCCCAGGTTGGGGCATATACAAGAGGCAACTGATTGACGTATTTCCCTCTCACATTGATCGATCAATTGATCTCTCTCTTTCTCTCTCTCTTCCTTCCCTTCTCTCTAAAAATATATAAATAAAATCTTAAAAAAAACAAACGGTGAGGCCTGAGCCACAGAAATAGCAGGCAATAATTTTTCCTTGGTTAGCATTATTTTCACATGTTATTGTTACTTATGACCCACAGTTCAACAGGAGTAAATAAATGATCTGGTAAATAAGTATCAGGAAGCTTAACAGCCAAGAAACAACTGACAAATAACTTAAAGTCTCTATCTCAATCTCCTCATTTGTAAAATCGGAATATTATTAATAGTACTCTGTATACAAGTAGGTTAGGAGGCTTAAATGAAATGTAAATTATGTCCACAGGATGATATTTGGTATAGAATGGGCACACAGTAAACACTTGCTATTATCAGGATCTACATTCCAGGCAAGGAGATGATGGATACAAGTGGGTGGACAGGAAAAGTTGCCCTGACTGGTGTGGCTCATTAGGTTGGGGGTCAATCTGCAAGTCAAAAGGATGCCAGTTCGTTCAGGGTGCAGGAACTTGCCTGGGTTGTGGGGGTCCCCAGTTGGGGGAAAACAAGATGCAACCAATCGAGGTTTTTCTTCCTTTCTCCCAACCCTCTCCTCTGCAAAAATAAATAAAAGTTTTAAAAAGGGGGGAAAGTTACCATGGGAGAGCAACGGGCAGTGAAAATTGGCAAGTTGGTTAAAACTAGGTTATGAAGGGCCTCGATTATGGGATTTAAGAATTTGTAAAAGCAGCCCTGGCTGATGTGGCTCAGTGGACCGAGCATTGGCCTGCCAACTGAAAGGTTGCCGGTTCCATTCCTGGTCAGGGCACATGCCTGGGTTGTAGGCCAGGTCTCTGGTTAGGGGCATGTGAAAGGCAACCAGTCGACATTTCTGTTACTCTCCTTCCGTTCCCCTCTCTCTAAAAATAAATAAATATTTTTTTAAAAAATATTTATAAAAGCAGCACTTTAGAGACATAATTGCATGCAGTAATGGATGTGTAAAGGATAATCCTGACTAGCTTTGGGTGGTGGGGGGAGTAGGAGCCATGAACTTTAAAAGGAACTTGAGACAGATTGACATTATTGCCAAAGACCTCGGCTATTGGTTGAAAATAACCAAAATGTTTGCAATGTTAATAAACATTCCTCCCCACCCACCATTATAATTTATCTTTTTAATATAAGGTTAGGTTATCTAGGACCATACCTTCTCCCAGCCATCTCTAACTGCACTCCTAACCGCCTCCAAATTATTTAAAGGAAAAGTAAACTACAGGGAGGTCATTGTCCAGGACTAAAAACGAATCTAAAAACGGCCTGCCCCTTTCAGGGGCTTGGGCTGAATTAACTGACAAACTCCACCAGACACGTGTTCCTTACAACCCTTCTCAAATCTCTTGGCCTCGTGCCTGGAGAGTGAGGCTCTCCGCGACCAGCTCTAGGTGACTCTCCAGGGACAAGAGGGATGGTAGAAAACGGAGGACGACTCTAGGGCTACTACGTCCCAACGACTCTTTAAGGTGCCCTCCAAACCTGGGGTCACAAGAAAACGAACCCCAATTTCGTCCCGTGCCTTGAAAGAAGCCTTCCCACAACTGCCTCTCGTCCCGGACTGGTAAACCTCCAAGACCTCTTCCTACTTGGTCCTTACTCACACGCGAGAGTCCGGAGCTCGGCAGGGCCACTCCAGCCCCGGCAGAGGCCGCAAGGAAAAGGGAAGCCGGCAGCCGCAGGAAGCCCCGCCCCGGGGGCGCTACGGGGCAGAGCCCCAGTGAGCGGGTCCCGGAAGCCCCGCCCAGGGAAGAGTTGGTGGGGGGAAATGCAAGTGCGGTGGCCTAGGTGATTATATTCCGTGCAGAAGTTAGACCCCAGAAAAGAATGGGTAGGAACGGAACAGGGACTACGTTCATTTTACTGTCATCCCATTTGTTACTTACGGACGGAAGGGGCGGTGAGTTTGGAACGGCTAAAGAGAAAACCTGGTGTGTACTAAGGCGGCTGTGCTTCCTGTGTGCCTACACCGAGCACTCCCGTGACGTCGGTTCTCACACGTGTGTCGCCTTTCGGTTCCTGCAGGCTCAACCCACGCTTTTCCCCTATCCCACGCAGCTCCCCTTTCTGGCTCTCTCCAGGAGCACTCTCACTAGGCTAATGGATCGCCCACCCACAGAGGTCACCTTGGTTTTCAGAATCTCTAGTAAGTTTTCGTGTAGATTATGCCTGTCACTCCTACAGACATCCCTGGTGCCTGTAGTGTGATCCTTAGCTAAGCTGCAGCAGCTAAAAAAACACTGGCTTTCTCTGCTAGACTTGCATCGTGGCACAATCAACCAGAGGCCACATCCCCGGTCTGGACAGATTGCTCATCAAATTACCAGCATTTCTTCTGAACACTAAAACTTCCCTCCTCTAGCTGAACTCAATGATTCTGTCCTGCTGAACAGCAGGTGAAGCTGAGGCCCAGAGGGGCGAGGTTCAGCAGCAGTAATTCCTAAATCCATTCCCCAAATTCTAGAGCCGATCCTTTCCTCTCCTTCGCAGCATTCTACCAGCTCTGCTGATCTATTGCACCCGGCACCTTTGCCAGGCGAGCCTCTGAGAATCAACCACTGCTCTTGGCATCTACCAACATGTTTTATTATCTTTTCTCAGTTTTGTCATAATGGAAAAAAAAAAAAAAGTGCTTCCTGTGCGCACAGACTTCTGCTGAGAAAGCCCAGAACCCTAAATTGATTCTAGCAAGAGACCCTATGTCAGAAGGCTAGAGAGCCACTGGAGAAGTGACAAGCACAAATCCTCTCCAGTTTGATGGAGTTGGACACAGACTGTGGTTGGAAAAAGGCTTACATAAATATAGTAATTTAAAAAGTCACATGAGCTGTGCTGGCCTAGGAGGCAGGAGCTCTGCTTTGCAATTAAATAGGAATGTGGCTGAAGACTGCTGCCATAATCAATGCCCGCATCTGACTGTCACAGTGTGTTCATAAAAGAGGGTTATGAAAGTTATAAAACCAGGCAGATATGGTGGGTAATTGTCCTGCGGAGCTGTGCTAAAAAAGAAATTGCATTAGCATCTCATATATTTTGCTTTCTTTCCTTCCAAACACACAAAATGGAGAAGACAGAGCTACCCTGAGTATTCATGAAAAGGAAAGATGAAGTTTCCAATGGAAACTTTCCAAAGGAAAGATGAAGTAACCAATGACATAGTGTCGACCGGATTCACAGATTAGTCCAGGCAGAAGGCAGAATTGTGTGGAGGGAAGGCCAGCCATTATGAGTACGGCTGAGCGGTGGGCCATGTTCTCATGTTATATTGAAAAGATGGATACCATTTTTAGGTATAGGCTGTTTAGTGTGTCTTTTGGAGGAAAACCTAGATTATGGTTTTTTCGTTTCCTAAAAATCCTTCATACTCAACCTTCTTAACCTACATCCTTTTAAATTCTGAAATCATTTTAGTGGGATGATTTATGTGGTATTCTACCTGTAATAACTGCTTTTCTACTTGCTTGCTTATTTCTTGAAGACAAAATGTTAGGAATAATAACAAAAAAGAAAAGGAAAAATTCCAGAAAAAATTGAGCCAGATGAAAGGCAAAGGATTAGGACAGGTCCATTAGTTCTGAGTTTGACATCATAATTGAAAGGCTGGCCACAAGGGAGAGTAGGTCCCCAACCTGCTTGCCTGCCTTTCCCTTTCTCTGTCTATCCTCTTCTCCTTGCTTCTCTCCTTGGTACCCTTTGCCCCTAAGACTGTTCTTTTCCTCTCCTACCTGGACCACCAATAGAGAAATATTGTATTAAATCATTTGTTCAGTCAATCAATCAACATTTATTAAGCGTCTACCTACCATTTGCCAGACCCCATTCAAGCACTGCAGACAAAGTCAGAGCAATACAGATTACTTCCTGACTAAAGCTTACAGTCTAGTGGGGAAGAAAGACAAATATAGGTATCCTTGGCATATGTCAGGGGGTAGCTAATCTAGCCTGGGGAGTCAGGGAGAGTACTAGAGAAGGCAGTATTCCCTCTGGCTGATCCTATGGGCTTAGATTAAAAGAGAGATTTCTTTACCATCTTCTTGTTGGTTCTCTCTGTAGTAGCTACCCAAGTTGAGGGGGGGACTGCAGTTCTTATTATTTCTCAAAGGCATAGTTGGATTGGCAGGGATATAAAGAAATTGGAACTCTCATACACTGCTGGTGGGAATGTAAAATGGTGTAGCCACTTTGGAAAACAGTCTGGCAGTTCCTCCAATGATTAAACATAGTTACTTTATGACTCAGCAATTCCACTCCGGGGTGTATACCCAAGAAAATAAAAATGTATGTCCATACAAAAACTTGTACACAAATGTTCATGGTAGCATTATCCGTAATAACTGAAAGGTTGACACAACCCAAATATTCATGAACTGACAAATGGATAAACAATGTAGTGTATCCATAAGGTGGAATATTATTTGTCCTTAAAAAAGAATGAATGAACCTTGAAAATATTACATTAAATTAAAGAAGCCTGATCACATATTGTTTGATTCCATTCATATGAGAGTCCAGATTAGGAAAATCTAATAGAAACAGATAGTAAATTCGGGGTTGCTTAGGTCTGGGGGTTGTGGGTATGGGGTTACAGCTAGAGGTTATGGGGTTTCTGTCTAAAGTGATGGAAATGCTCTAAAATTGTGGTGATGGTTACACATATCCGTGAATATAATAAAAACCATTGAATAGTACACTTTAAGTGGATGAATTGGATGGCATGTGACTTACATCTCAATATAGCTATTAAAACAACGATGAAAAGCATACCTGGGGACCTGAAAGATCCACAATTCTGATTCAAATTTTGGGTTCAAATTTTGAGTTGCATGGTCATTGCTTATTTTAAAGACTAGAGAGGACTTTTTATGCTGGGTCCTTTGTCCTCTCCGAGCTCCTTCCTCCATATACAGAGAAACTTAATGCATTTGGGTGGGCAGCACAAACAAAGAGGTAGATTGTGCATTCCCGTACATCCCTTCCCTCATAATGATCAACTCTCTCATAATTATTTTGTTCAACCATTAATAGTGTACCTACTGTGTAAAAGTTACGTGGATCTGAAAGAGCCAGAGTCTCTTCATTCCCTCCAAAGGTTGAAATTAAATTATTAATATAAAATCCTCCATATAAACAAATAAAGCTCTTTAGAAGATAGACAATGTGGTACAAAGAATAGTTGCAAGGCATCCTGGGATTCTCAACTCCCTCTATGGCACTTAGGGAAACATCGTGGTGACATCAGCTGGAGCAAAACCAATTCCCAGGCTTTCTTGATATTGAGCAAGTTCCAAAACTTGGCTCTCTTCTCACGTGCCTCCAATCACTCCTTCATGTGGTTTCTAGACTCAATTAGTCTATTTCCATACCCCTCATTTTCTCACCATCCCCACCCCCACAATGTCCAAATTGGCCCTCCAATACTAAACCATTTGCCGGAAATTCATTAGCTGAACACATGGGAAATTACAGAGGAGATTTCACTTGTCACTTAGGCTCAAATATAGAAAGTAATTTTAAAAGGACAGTGGAGAGAGGCTATATTTATCTTGCTTGTTTGTGCTGCTTTATCTTACTGCCTCTCATTCTCTTTCTGGCTACCTCACTTTTTCCTTGCTTCTTTTTAACTCGCTGGCCAGCACTCAATCCATTGAGCCACACTAGCTAGGGCTTCCTTGCTTCTTTTTAAAATAAATGTTGGCCTTTTAATCTTTGTCTCAGGTTCTCTTATCTTGCTTTGTAGATTCTTTCCTTTCTGCCTTCTTCATCCATTCATTCATTCAACAAATATTGGGTGTCTACTATGTAGCAGGCCCTGTGCTAGGCATTAGGAGGCGTGCAGTAATGAGTAAGACAGACATACTTGTTATCATGGTGGAGATTATGGTCTGATGGGGCAGGTGAACATCAGGTAGAGTGAATTCTGACTTGGTCATAGGAAAGGCTTAAGGGAGTGAATTGCATTTTTCTGATGTTTAGTTTACCCTACAGTGAATAAATGAGCATGAAAAAATAGCTAGAACCTTAGCATGTTTGTGAGGTTAGAGAATAAATGAAATATATTCCAGGAATGCAAGGAAATGGAAGACACCGGTTTCTATGTGATATATACAGGTCTCCTGGGTAGAGAGTACATGGATTTGGGAGTCAGATGTGGATCTGATTTCTGACTTCACCACTTACATATTAGCTATTTGACTTTAGGCAAGTAACCTCTGGGCCTCAGTTTGCTCACGTGTAAAATGGGAATTATAATCTCTACATTTTAGGCTGTTGTGAAGCTTTAATAAGATATCATACTTAAGGGACCAGACGAGTGCCCACTGGTATGTATGCCACTTCCTTTAACATTACCTCTCTAATTCCACCTTTCAATCCCACAGTTACAAAACAAAAAACAAATAAACAAAAACAGTCTCCCAACTGGTGGGAAATGAGGTTCCTCAAATGATATTTACCAATCATATAGCCAGAGAGATGGGTTGTTACCATATTTGTTACTATGCATGCTACTTACGACAGTCAGATCACTCCCTTCTTCTGGGGTAAGGGGAAGGCAATGAAAAATGAAATTATATAGAAAAAGACTGAAATGAGATACAACAAAGGACTCCCTCACTATGAGGGCTGGAATGTGGGTGGATGCCAGTGAGAGCAACAGAATCTTTTTTTCTCAGAGTATGTGTTTGGACTGGGCTAAGGCAGGCCCACCTTGAGGTACAGAATAAACCTGCCAACCTCTTCATGTCCCGTTTAGCCTAGGGAATCTTTGTGG